GTGATTGGGCATGCTATGTGTTACATTTATGCCTTGAAGGTGTTTGATAAAATGGCAATGTTAATTTAGCATGTTGGTTTCATTGAAAATGTTATAACATACTTGGTGAAAATTTGTGGAATGTAATTATATTCTCTTAATGTAATTGATATTGTAAAAATGGGGTATGTCATGCTACTTTCATGATATGCTAAACATGACATTGGAATTGCAATTGAAATCTTAGTTGTATAATGATATGAAAAACAATTGTTCATTACTTTGCATATGCACGGAAAGCATCACATTCGTGGACATGTGACATGGGTGTGGGTGTGTGCATGGTTTTGATCAAACATCATTTTTGGTGGATGATGCTTGAGTTCAAAAAAGTTGGATCAAAGTTCAACTGAGTTGTATAGCTTTGCATTGAACATAGGGTCGAGGTTAGTAAGAAAGTTTAGATTGTCCCTTAGGTGCAAGACCCGATGATTTTGATACGTACTCCATTGGTGTTGAGTCCATAATGTGTATCGGTGTATGCGGAGCCGTAGGTGGAAGTTCATAAATGTCATATCGATTAGGTGCCCGTTGGTGGAAGTCTATAAATACATACCCTAAGAAAGACCCGGGATATATAATGATCATTGGATGTGCAACATCAATGGCGGGGACTTGGATGTCCAGATTCATACATATGACATTACATGTGTTATAAGATCCGATGAAGGCTTGTGTTACATTGCATGTGTGAGTCCTATCTCATAACATGACATGGCATAGAAAATTCAATTATGAATGACATATTCTTAAATGAATTGTTTGTTAATTGCATGTGAGCATTTCAGATGCATCTAGGTTGAGATGTAGCATCTTTAGGAGATACCTTATTGAGCGTGACTCACCCTTTATAGGGACAACATTTCAGGTGTGGGACAAGCGCCAGTGAAAGGCTCTCACTTGGGGCCTCATTGATGAAGTGAGATGAGTTATGACTTTAAATTACATGTTTGTAAAACAAGTGTGTAACTAGTTTTGGAATACGTAATATTGCATAAAGGATCGTAAAACAAACTCATATGAACTATATTTTGTGGAGAATTGGATTTTATATGAGTTTGGGTGGATGTTGGAGGAGATTAGATGAGTTAGAATTTCAAAAAGGATTGAATTAGGGGCAAACTGGGCTCTTCTACTGGTAGAACATTGATTATCTACTGGTAGAGTTTTTCTATTGATAAAAGGTTGATTACCTACCAGTAGAAGAATTCTAGTTGACTCTTATGTCGATAGAACGTTGTTTACCTACTGGTAGAAGAATTCCAAATAAGGTTTTTCTACTAGTGTAACGTTAATTATCTACCGGTAAGTCTTCTTAAAGTTTCAAAAATTTAAAATAATTATGTCAAGTCTTTGGGCCTTGAGTCCTTTTATCCAAGGGATGTAAATGGAGTAAAATTAAGCACAATTTGATGTATGTCAGTTCTTGGAATGGTCAAGTGATAGAAATGTACATAGGTTACACGTTTGAGAGTGTCCGGTACAAGGGAGACTCTGCTCAAATGTTGTGTTGTTTATGATCTAGTGAAGGGGATGTTATTGTAATGGTGTCGGATTTTATGGTATTCACGGATACGTCTGTGAGTTGATGGGTGATCAACAGGTCGACAAAGGACACCTAGTTTTAAGGGCGTCATGAAGGATGTGTCCTGCCCTTCTGCAGTGCTTAACGCTTCCTACAATATGCAGTGCCTGTCGTGGTACAGGGTGTCTGCCGCAACATTCGGTACCTCTACGACACTAGGGTGTTGTCATGGCACTATCACCTTATACAAATTCTGCGGGAGCCAATTGGACCTAATTTCTAGGTCAACTAATAACTCCTGCCATTTTTCTTGCCATAGTTTGAACAAATGTTTTGAATTTATCAAGTATGTTAGATCATACTCATAAAGTTCATTATAAAATCTTAACCTATCACACAGTGATGATACTATCAAGTTCACCATCTGAAAGTGTCATTGAAGGGAGCAGATCAAGCGTCAAAGTAACATTATTCAAGTTTCGTATGCACCTTCATGCTTAAGACTAGGTAATGACCTAGAGATATAGAATGAACCCTTAGTTATTTTAACATAGGTTGATTCTGATGAATATGGAATTGGAAGCGATCCGATTTTGATGCCTATGTTTTTTTTTTTAAAAGATTTTTTAAACCATTTATTAGTTTTAAAAATATAATTTGAGTCACAAACAGACTCCTCTTTGAGAAACACCCTTTAGTACTCAAGAGGACAATTTTTTGTATAGTTTTATGCTTAAAAACCTGTAGGGATCGATATATACTCGCTAGCCTGCACTATAACAGTCTCTTTATGACTTAGAGAAATAAAAGAGAAAATGTCACAGAAGGTGACATTAGCGGTACCTACCTTAGTCGTGTTTGAAACATTGTTTTCATTCTAGTGACAACAGCCCTCTCACCAATCAAGCAGTCATTTGCGAATCTGAGTTTTCTTATTCACTAAAACTACTCTTGCTCTAAACCTATAAATAGAGAGAGTCTTTCTCACACCTGAGTTAAGCCTCTAGTGAGATTTCTAAGAGAGAATCATTTTTTGACCTTGAGAGCTTCTACCACAACCCAGATCTCTAAGATCCAAAGGCTACCACTAAAGATTCTACCCAGCTTCACAAATTTAAGTTGAAGATCTTGATGGTTTGATAAACCTATTGTTGTGTGTATATTAAGGATTTTCGCATGCCCATAATTGCTCAAAGCTTAGATGAATCGTGCAGTGGGGAGGCCTAAGTGAAGTTATACTAGACATCGAAGTAAGGAAAAGAGCATCTAACCATAATGTTGGATGAAGTATAACTCTCGAGTACTTGTATGTTGACTTAGGGAGTAGTATATTAGGATTTGGTGAACCGAGAAGGTTCCATGTAGTTTTTCCGATGGGGGTTTTCCGAGTCAACAAATTGCTTGTGTTCCTTGCACACTATGTGTTTGTTGATTTAATTGATTGACTATTCATCCATAAATAGTTGTGCAATTATTTTTTGGGATTTGGGATCGCCATGAGATTAATTTTGAGTGGATCAGTTGAAGATTAATTAAAATCAATAGTCATCATAAATTGGATTGTGGTGATTAAAAGGGTTCTCACATTCTTTGCTTAATCTTTGTGAGAAGGGGTAATTGTAGTAGACATAAGTTTAATTGGTAATCAATTTAAGCTAAAATTGAAAAACCTATTCAACTCCCTCTATATATAATGTCTTAGTCTCCACGTGTATAATTATAAACGAAGTTCCATATCGAGTTCCCCTTCCTAGAACAACATGGTACTACAGTACTCAACTTTTAATCGTTTGGTTCTACAGCGGAAAATTAAATTTGGCTTTTAAGATAGCTGATACGTTGGCACACAATAAAATAGACATTGAAATACTTTCAATTCGAAGATCTTGAATAAGTATTAATGGCAGTGTGAGCTAGCGCTAAATAACTAGATTCAATGGTTGAATGAGTTGCTATAGTTTGCCTCTTGGCATACGATTAGATCAAATTATGTCCAAGAAATTGACCAAAACACGTAACAAAAGAGACCAATTGTAAATCCAGCACAATTGGCATTAGCATAGGAAATAATATCAAGTGGTAAAGCGGTAAATGTGAGCCTATGTTTTAATGTCTCTTTCACAGACGTGTTATTCATTTGATGGAAGTGTAGTGCTAATGGAGGATATTATGAATACGATGACAAATATTACTTACTGCCTAAGACAAATCAGATTGTTCCATTATAAAATGAGTAATGCTACACTGATCAAATTTTAGGACTAAATTTGGAACTCAAATGACATGGCAGTTAACTTGGGCTTTTTTATTTGGTATCATGTCATTTGGGCCCCAATAAAGATTCCAAATAATATACTATCATGTCATTTTGGCTCAAAATTTGGTCCGAAAATTTGGTCAGCATAACATTATTGTTATAAAATAAGCAATGTTATTTGGACATAATTTGAGAATATAATGAGTTGTCACCTATGATAATGAATTCATTAATGCTATAATAAAACTCATCATTAAATACATTTCACTATCATTTAATTGGTAACAACTCATTATATACTTTAATTATGTCTTAATAGCATTAGTGTTATAAAATATTGTATTCGACTATTGCAAACCCGTAAGGTATGGGTTAGGATAAATTAGAAATATGCCAACATTTAACAAATTATAATATGAGCAATGTTATTGGGATGCAATTTATGATCTAATTTCTTGACCTAATTCACTATGACTTTTGAATTAACTGTCAAATTCATAAAACATTAGAACTTTGTGTTCATCTAATGGTTCTACTGAAGTCACATCATTATGTCAATAAATTAGTTTAAATTTTTAAGTCCAAATAGTATTACTCTTATAATATTATTTGGACATAGTTTTGTCAATATAATTTACTGATTCGATACATTATAACTATTAGATTAGTTGTAAAACCAAGTATTGCATATAGCTGAAAGAATCACATGCACAAGCACCTAAATCAAATGCAACAGATATCATGTCAATCTCGAATAATAATAATTGTAAAAATAGTATAACTTGTACTGTTAATTGTAATTGTAAGAAGGAAAAGAAATGGAAACAAAATAACCTGGTTGAAAAAGCTTTGCGGGCAATTCAACCGCGAGAGAGAGAGAGAGAAACCGCCATAGTAGGGGAACATAAAGAATTGAACAAAAGAAAGGAGAACCGCAAGGGAAGGGAGCAAGAATGAAGGTCCGCCCACAAAGATATTAGAGGGAAATAATTACTTATGGACGATCTAAATGAAGACAGTCCCAGCTATAAAAGGGGTTGATTGATGATGAGTAGATGCTAAGCGCAAGCTGGAAGAAGACATTCCCCATCTTCTTCTCTCTAAACAAAACAATCCCAACAAAAATAAGAAATTGTGAGACAGTGGGGGAGAGAGAGAGTCACAGCAGCGGGAGGAGCCATGGGTAGCATGACTTTGGTAGCAGCGTTATTTTTGTGCCTCTTCGCCGGGGCGTTGGTAGTTCAGGCCGAGGACCCTTACCTCTTCTTCGAGTGGAATGTCACATATGGAACCATCGCCCCTCTGGGAGTCCCCCAACAAGCCATCCTCATCAATGGAGAGTTCCCCGGGCCTAAGATCAATTGCTCGTCCAACAACAACATCGTGGTGAACGTTTTCAACAATCTCGATGAGCCTTTCCTCCTTACCTGGGCTGGCATCCAGCAAAGAAAGAACTCATGGCAGGATGGTACCCCCGGAACAATGTGCCCGATTCAGCCGGGGACAAATTACACCTATCGTTTCCAAATCAAGGACCAGATTGGAAGCTATTTCTACTACCCCACCACGGCCATGCACAGGGCATCTGGTGGTATTGGTGGCATCCGTGTTAACAGCCGGTTACTCATCCCTGTACCTTTCGACGAGCCGGCAGATGACTACACTGTCATTATGGGAGACTGGTACAACAAGGGCCACAAGGCCTTAAAGAAGCTCGTGGACAGTGGTCGATCCATTGGCAGGCCTGATGGCATCCAGATCAATGGCAAATCTGGCAAAGTTGGTGACCAGGGCGAGCCCCTTTTCACGATGGAGCCGGGGAAGACCTACAGATACAGATTCTGCAATGTAGGGATGAAGACATCCCTCAACTTCAAACTCCAAGGCCACACCATGAAGCTTGTAGAGTTGGAAGGTTCTCACACAGTTCAGAATTTATACGACTCCCTTGACTTGCACGTAGGGCAGTGCCTCTCCGTTCTAGTTACTGCCAAAAAAGAGGCCAAGGAGTATTACTTCGTGGCCTCTAGTAGGTTCACCAAGAAACCAATGACATCCGTGGCCATAATCAGCTACACCAATGGCAAGGGCCCAGCATCTCCTGAGCTCCCAGCTCCCCCACCGGAGAATTCCCAGGGCATCGCTTGGTCCCTTAATCAGTTTCGTTCGTTCCGTTGGAATCTCACCGCCAGCGCTGCTCGCCCCAACCCTCAGGGCTCTTACCATTACGGAAAGATTAACATCACCCGAACCATCAAGATCGTTAACTCGAGGAACAATGTCAATGATAAACTTCGGTACGCCATCAATGGAGTCTCGCATGTGGATCCCAACACCCCATTAAAGCTTGCAGAGTACTTTGGAGTAGCCGAAAAGGTGTTTAAGTATGACACCATTGTTGACGAGCCCACCGCTGAGAGCGAGAAGATGATCACATTGGCCACTAATGTTGTCAACGCCACCTTCCGTAACTTTGTTGAGATAATCTTCGAGAACCACGAGAAAACCATCCAGACATGGCACCTCGATGGGTATTCCTTCTTTGCTGTGGGGATCGAACCCGGGAAGTGGAACCCGGATAAAAGGAACAACTACAACCTTCTTGACGCCGTGAGTAGGCATACCATCCAAGTTTACCCTAATTCATGGGCAGCCATCATGACAACGCTAGACAATGCTGGGATGTGGAACTTGAGGTCGGAGATGGGAGAGAGGTTCTACCTCGGACAACAGCTCTATGTCAGTGTTCTCTCTCCTGCCCGTTCCCTGAGGGATGAGTACAACATTCCAGACAACACCCCACTGTGTGGCATTGTGAAGGGAATGCCCCTGCTTCATCCTTACACCATTTAGAATAATAGAGTATGAAGAAGACGAAGAAGGTGCATGAAGAAGACGAGTGATTGTGCAAGGGAAATAGCACAAATAAAACTACAAGAAAAAGAAAAAAAATCAAAAAGAAAAGGGTTTGGGGCAGAGTTGGTGACAAAAATACATAGCTTGGCTGATAATGCATTTATTGACCCTTTTGATAGAAATTGTGCTTAAATTTTGTTTCAATATTTAAATATATTTTATTTCTGTTTCCGCTAGTTGAATCAAAAGTAAATTCTACTTAAGCCACTTTCTTATAATTTCAAAGCTTATTACTCATGATCAATTGGCTAACTTTCTGTTGGTTTTCCGTCACCTCTCTATCTCTTATGCATGATTTTTGTTCTGACAATGGTAAAAATGGTCGGATAATTTACATTCCTATTTTCTCTTTGAGTTTCCCTGAAAATATTGAAAAACAAGCGTAGCCCTAAGAACTGTAGGTTGACGGGGTACAAGTAAATTTGAGCTATGAGAAGACAATACCATAAGTGCCCTTAACATGTGTATCAATATTCTTTTGAGCCAGATATTGTACTTTGAAGAATTATGTATTGATGGTGTGTTTTTTGCGGGCTACGCAGAGGTGAACTATTTGAGGATCTTGTTGTGATGTTAATGGAGATTATTGAAATTTTTAGTCAAAGCTTCTAAGTTCTTGGGGGTTGATCTACCAATTCAATTGGCGGAGTGTTCAGCGTGGCTAAGTAGAGGTGAACTATTTGGGGATCTTATTGTGGACGTTAATGGAGATTACTGGGATGTCTAGTCAAAGCTTCTAGGCTCTTGGGAGTTGATCTATCGATTCAGGATGATAACAAAAAATGAAGATCAATACATAGAGAATTTATAATAGTTCACCAACTCGGAAGATTGGCTCTTCCATTCTAAAGGAGTATTTTGCTTCTGGGGAACTTCTCAACTAAATCATCCCAACAGAGCGATTAAAAGCGTCTTTGGAACGAATTCCTTTGAAGTAGGGATTTGACCCCTATTTAAAATGTACACTTTGCGTAATTGTCTTGTGTGATCTTTGCGATCCTCCCATAACTAACGCCCTCCTAGTGTAATCAATGTGATCCCCCTCGAGGGTGTTGTGATCCAAATGCCATAATATTTGGCCGTTGAGGGTTACATTTCCTAGCCGTGCCGTGGCCTTTTGGAAGGTACCAACCGTTGCTATCATCGTGTACACGAGAGTCACGTTATTAGAGATTTTCGACTTGCACACCCCTAGCTAATGATCATGAGTTGAGAGGTTCGAGTTTAGATGTATGATTAGCACAAAATATTGCATATTATGTATGTTTTTGTGATGCCCCTAAAATTGGGGTCATTATTTAACCCATTGACCACCCGTCAACCCGCAAAATTGTTCATGAGTGTCGCTTGATCTGACATTACGCTATTATTATTCCATTACCTAAAATTTTAACTCACACATATTACCCGTATTCCTTTAATCATTTAATCTAACCAAAGTCCAATATACCTCATTTAATGCTCATTTGTATCATTGGAACCAAGTAAAACAAAGCCCAAAAGTATGACAAAATAATTTAAAATTTTTAGATTTTAGGAGACAGTACCGGACTGCATACCGGTACGGTTTGCCTTCTGGACAGACAGTACTAGTACGTAGTACTGGTACGATTTTCCTTCTGGACAGACTGTACCGGTACATAGTACCGGTAGATTTTGTCCAGTTTTACCCAATTCACCTGTTTTCAACTTTTAACCCATTCCAAAACCTACCTTTTTCATCCAAAACATACTAAATCATGTTTTTCACATATAATCTAATATATACAACGTCTAATACAACTCATTCCATACATTTACATACCAAATGGGTTTTAAACAAAAGTTTCTACAAAAACTTGTTTTCAAAAGCCACAACACGATTTTTCTTCATCGTTGATGCTCCAAATGAGTGTCATCCACCGGAGTGTAGTCCGCACCTAAAATATTTTCCTGTATAGGATGAGCGATGCCCAGTAGAGTATTTTCTACAAAGGCTACTCCCCAACCTAAGTGCATATGCAATGTTCTCATGCAACAATTCACAACCAACAACATTCCAAACAAGTGTACATCATTCAATTTTAGAATCTTAGCAATGTCATATCATGAAGTGAGATAAGACTCAATCATGCGACTCAACTTGAGCCCTTCCTGACTCATTTTTTCATGTAATGCCATGGTTTTTAAAACCGAGCTTCGAAGCCCCCGCCATTGGTTTCACTCACCCAATGACTATTTAAAAATTTATAGGTCTTGGGGTGGGTATTTATGGACTTACACCAACAGTCACCCAACTGACATGGAATTTATAGACTTCCACCAACGGTTCCGCATACACCGATACACTTTATGAGCTTTTATACCAACGAAAGTGCGCATCCGAATCATCAGGTCTCTCACCAGAGGGATAATCTAGTCCTTCTTTCTAACCCCGACCCAATTTTTTTTCATGCAACAGTGTGACTCAGTCGGATATTCAATCTAACTTTTCCAAGTCCACCTATCATCAACCTATTTGGTGATTGATATCAACTATGCACACACACACCCACACACATAGTTATGGATGCGATTTTTCTGTGCAAATGCAATGTAATGCTCTATTGCTATTTCAATATCATGCTCATATATAATGAATGTCATAAGAGCAAACTTTAAACACATAAGTACATATCCATGGTAATTTACATCTCATGCCTACAATTATCAACTTTATCATAATGTTCATAAATCAATAAGCATATATCAATATTTTGTTTCCAACAACAATCACTAGCATGTTATTACATAATATAAGCCAATAACACACTTCAATCCCCATGGCATAATTTAAACACATAGCATGCCCACATTCCATGGAATTACACAAGTAATTACCATATATCAATTCCAAGCTAGGAAGTTATTTTAACCTATTTCTATATCCATTTTCATAACCATTTCATCAATTTCACAACATAGGCAAGTGATACATATTTCTATCAACCTACCCATTACATATAAACAACCTAGGTCGTAAATAAACTTAAGTAAGAAGGAACTCTACCTCTTGCAGCATGAAATCACGTTGGGAAGCTCCAAGAACCCAAAACTAGCTAGAATCTCCTCTTCCCAAAAATCCCTTCCTTGGACTCTCGCCCAAAACCGACCTCCTTGGTATGATTTTGTAGCCCACGTCGAGGAGAACAACTTTCCTTCTTGGCTCAAGCGGATTTGAACACTCAATCTTCGTAGATCTTAGAGAGAAGGTGGAGAAACTCTCTCTTTTCCCTCTCTTCTCTATCGGCTAACCGGCTGAACACAAGTCTGGCCAAAAATCAAAATTTTTCCCTTATTTATAGTCTTAGAATACTTGGCCCAAAATTGGCCACACGACCTTCTTTTTTTCGGGTCCATTTTAACTCCGAAACGATTAAATTTTGTTTCGGTTCAAGTTCAAATTAATTTTATTTTAATTTGCCTTAATTATTTTTTAACTTTTAAAATTTTATTAGAAATTCCGTTTTTGGGTCACCCGAGACTCGACAGTCTCGTAAAATGCAAAAAATTCAACTATCTCAGAATTTGATGAAATTTGACGTGGTAACTAGATTTCGTGAGACGAATCCAACGATGAGATCCGTTTTGTCATTTGAGTTCATGAAAAATTCAAGTTTACAACCCGTATTATAGTGATAAATTACCATTTTGCCCTTTCTCATAAAAGTCTAAATTTATCCAGGTTTTACATTCTTCCCCCTTTAAAAGAATTTCGTCACTGAAATTCACACACAAATACACACTTAGTCGCATGCATATGCAACAATAAGATTATACTAAAAATTATAAAACTTGTACCTCCATCCTCGAATAGGAACGGATAGTTGGTACATATGGTATCTTCATGCTCCCATGTTGCCTCCCCCACTCCTCGGAGCTGCCGTAGCACCTTTACTAGTCTTACAGTCTTGCCCTACAAGACTTGTTTTCGGCCATCCATGATACGCACCGGTCTCTCCTCGAAGGTCTCATTCGCTTCAACAATCATCTCACCCTAATCCACCACATGTGTCGAATCTGGAGTATACTTTCGGAGCATAGAGACATAGAACACCGCATGAACACCAGATAGATTTGGCTATAATGCCAACCGATAAGCCATTGTATCCACCTTCTCGAGTACCTCGAAGGGCCCGATAAATCTCGGCGACAGCTTCCCTCATTTTTCGAACCTGACCACTCCTCTCTTAAGCATCACCTTCAAGAATATGTGTTCTCCTACCTCACACTCCAGAGGTCGCAGCCGTCTGTCAACAGAGCTCTTCTACCGGCTGTGAGTCGTAAGAAGACGCTTTCAAATCAAGTCTACCTTCTCTAAAGTGTCTTTAATCAAATCCAAACCCGTAGAGGGTCTCTCTCCCATCTCCGTCCAACAAACCGCAGAACGATAAAACCTTCCATAAAGTGCCTCATAGGGTGTCATCTGTATGCTTACCTGATAACTGTTATTGTAGGCGAATTCCACTAAGGGTAAGTGATCTTCCCAGCTACCCTTGAGATCTAGGACGCATGCCCACATCATATCCTCTAATATTTGGATGGTCCTCTCCAACTGAACGGCTGTCTAGGAATGAAATACTATACTCATTGTCAACTAAGTCCCCATAGCCCATTGGAAGTTCTCCCAAAAGTGGGCTATGAACTTGGAATCCTAATCCAATACTACAGATACGGGCACCCCATGTGATCTGACAATCTCCCGTATGTAAAATCTGTAGAATTTCTCCAGTCAAAAGGTCAATCGCACCGCCAAAAAGTGTGCTGACTTTGTAAGTTAGTCCACTATCACCCACATCGCGTCATGTCCCCGTGATGTCCATGGCAAGTGGGTCACAAAATTCATGGTGATATGCTCTCACTTCCACTCTGCTATCTCCAAAGGCTGGAGCAACCCACATTGGTCTTTGGTACTCAGC